GATAATTACTCGTCCTATCTAAGGATTTTTTTTGTAATCAAAACATATTTTATAAGTGGTAAAAAACAATGCTAAAGTCAAGGTTTCTTGCTGTGCCAATATTTTTGTTCATCACTGTAGCTACCTAAAGCAAAAAAGCGTATGAGCATTGACTCTCCAAAAGTAACTACGAAACAACAAAGGATTAGTGAAGGGTCAAACAACTCAAACCGGGTTTCTGTGCTAGATTTGGACGTGCAAATTAATAAACAGAATTTTAAGAAAAAATAGGGGTCAGTTTTAACTGCTGTAGTTCCTCACAAACCACCACCAATTTTTGTACCTCAAGTGATTGATATAAATAAAATGTTGAAAGCTTTTCAATTGTTATTGGTAAAGAAAATTTCACCTACAAGTCAGGCAGGGACAGACAAGCGAGGGTAATGACCTCAAACAGTGATTGCTACAGAAAACCTCTTAGCTATTTAGATACCAATAATTATACTTTTCATACATATCTATTGACAGAAGCTAAGCCATATCGTATAGTTATAGAAAATATTCACTTTTCAACTCCAATCGACGATATCAAGCATGACTTAGCAAAAAACGGGCATACCGTACGAAATATTGTGAATGCAAAAATCAATATTTCAAAATTGCCGATGTCAATATTCTTTGTTGATCTTGAACATTCAACAAACAATAAAAAAGTATTTGACGTAAATCGGTTATGTAATGCCGTAGTAAAAATTTAGCAACCTAGAAAATTTAACGATTTGGCAACTGTCAAGAGTTCGGCCATTACAAGCAATATTGCAAAAAGCCTTATAGATGTGTTAAGTGTGCACTAGACCATCCTTCGTCGCTTTGTTTAAAAGATAGAGAAACTTCACCGAAATGCTTCCATTGCCTTCAAAATCATACCGCCAATTACAAAGGTTGTAAAATTTATCAGGAGTTAGTGTCAAAAAAAGACTCGTTTAATAATAAGACAAGGCCTTCCTTGGTCAAACTTACAAATGCCGAACAACAAGTTCCCCATAAAAACGTTAGCTATGCTGATGTAATAAGAGGACAACTTAGTTCTACTACAACCACAGTACGCCCTGAAAAAATTGACAAATTCCAAGAATTGATTGCCAACCAAATTGAGCAACCACAAAACTAATAAATATGACGTCTTCTCTCGTAACTAAGCTATGCAAGTTAGTCTAAAAATAGCGATTTAGAATGCCAATGGCAGCCATAGACTGGAAGTTGAGTATTTTATAAAAACTAACAATATAGATATATTACTTGTTTCCGAAACCCACCTTACCGCTAAGCCCTATTAATGGATTCGATCTTATTACTTCAAACCACCCCGACGGTAAAGCACACGGTGGTTCGGTAATTCTAATAAAATCATCACTAAAACATATCGTTTTAGAGCCAATTTCAGTACCATCAATTCAAGCAGCTTCTTTGAAAATCCAGACCGGCAGTGGAGCGATTTTTATAAGTATATCTCCCACCTCGATTCAATATAAGCAAAGAAACTTTTAAATCGTGTTTCGGCAAAATGGGTCCCAGATTTTTAGCCGGAGGTGATTTCAATGCCAAACATCCATAGTGGGGTACACGCCTTACGAATCCCAAAGGCCGCGTACTGTACAAGTGTGTATCTCAAAAAAGCTTAAATGTTTTATCTGCTGGCAGACCCACATACTGGCCGACTGATCCCTACAAAATTCCTGATCTAATTGACTTCGCAATTTATACCGGCATAAACCCACATCATCTACAAATTTCGAATAATGAAGATATGAGCTCAGATCATTCCGCTCTCGTTATCAATATGAATATGCTTGTGGTTGTCACATCCAGAAAGCAGCATTCTTTAACTAAAAGGTTGAACATACGATTTTTCCAAACTTGGTTGCAGTCCCACGTAAACCTTAACATGAAAATAACCACAAAACGAGACTTAGATGACGCTGTGGAAAACTTCAGCCAAAAAATACATCAATCTGCTTCGTTAGCTTCTCCTCTTAATTCATCTAATCCATACGGTACCAACAATGTGAAGATGAAGTAGCGCAGATGTTACAAAATAAAAGACGACTTCGAAGGATCTGGCAGAATAGCAGAAATCCGGTTGACAAAACCAGGCTAAACAAAGCAATTAAAGAATTAAAATCCAAGTTGGCAGAGCTGAAAGAATAATCTATTTCAGAATTTCATAAGAATGCTGATCCAAATAAAAACGATGAACGTCCTCCGAAGCGACAGGTACCGATAAAAGATGAAAACAACTGCTGGTGTAGATCTGACAAAAGAAAAGCCGACGCGTTTGGCAACCACCTTGCGAATACTTTCAAGCCTTTTGCTCTCAATACTGACCATCAGCGCCAAATGTATAAACCAATACATTATGTTAAACTGACTAAAGTACAATTAGAAGTGTCACAGTTGAAGATTTCTAAATCGCCTGGCCCAGATAATATTGATGCATGGACAATCCAACAATTACCAAGGAAATGCCTGCTATTCTTACTTTTAATCTTTAATTGTGGTTTTAGGCTAAGTCACTTTCCTATGCAATGAAAATGTGCCGAAAGTATAATATGTGACCTGGTCTACGGAAAGGGAGCTAACGTGCGAAATGACTTATGACTTTTTAGATTCTATCACGTGAAAAAGCATCTCATCTTCCATCCGAATCAACTAAAAAGTGAAAATTGATTTTTTGACACCAAAGCCCCCTTTCCGTAGACCACATCACATATAATGATTCCGAAGCTAAACAAGCCCGAGAACGAAATAACCTCTTATAGACCAATAAGTTTGCTGACAATATTCTCTAAAATATTTCTTCGTCCATTATTGCCAGTTTTGGATTACTTGTCCATTATCTCAGACCATCAATGGAACCCCTGAACAGTGCCACGGAATCGTAAAAACCATAGTAAAATGTCTCGAAGAGAAACAGTATTGTTCGGAAGTTTTCTTAGACATTCAACAAGCCTTCGATAGAGTCTGGCATGAGGGGTTGTTATTTAAAATAAAAATGAAAGTACCAGTTCAATTCTACCTATTTCTTCGTCATACCTAGATTGCAAACATTTTTACGTTAGAATTAATGATGACACTTCCGACATATACAAAGTCAAAGCAGGCGTTCCGCAAGGCAGCGTGCTTGGCTCAAAGCTGTACATGATTTTCTCTGCCGATATGACAATAATAAACGACGAATATATAACTGTTGCCACATATGAGGACGACACCGCAATTCTTGCATCTGCTTACTCTGCAAACGAAGCGTCTGAAGCTGTTCAAAACCAACTCAACGCAACATTATGGTAAATGAAAGAAAATCAGCGCATGTTACCTTCACCATGAAAGCAGGAGATTGCCCCAGCGTCAATCTCAATCAAACAATTATTCCAGAACATGGCAGCAACATATAAAGATTAAACGAGATCAGTTAAAACTCAAGACTATAAAAATGTACTGGCTACTGGGTCCCAAATCGAAACGTAGTCTCAAAAATAAGGTGATCCTATATAAAAGCAGTCTAAAACAGATTTGGGCATATGGAATACAAATCTGGGGAACTGCAAGTAAATCGAACGTTGAACTAATTCAAAGATATCAGTCGAAAACACTCAGGTTGATTGCAAACGCTGCATGGTACATCAAAAATATTAACTTACACAAAGATTTTGAAATAAATATGGTGAAGAGCGAGATTCAGAAACTCAGTTCAAGATATCTTAATCGCCTAAGCTGCCACCCAACATACATTCCATTAACGTACTGGACAACAGTGAAGATACTCGCCGACTGCAAAGGCTATTGCAATTTTAGCATCAAAGTGAATCTTATATATAATAACATTTTCTTATTGTCACACGACAGATTGTAAATAAAATTAAATAAAAAAAACTTTCGGACTTAAAAATGCTCTAGCTACATTCCAAAGAGCGCTAGACGATATTCTTCGTCAACATATAGGATTAAGAAAAGGAAAAATTTAAAACCTCATACCTATGCCCCAAACCCTAAGAACACCAACAGTAAAATGAAGTGATGGAAAGCCATTTTAGAAGAGTATACCTACGAACTAACTTAAAAACCTGGTAAAACAACTATAGATACCCTTACAATAACACCGGCACAAATAAATTCACTTACACCTACAATTCATATCGATTCATTTGATGAAACATAAATTCATAACTTAATCCTTTGTACAGAAGTTCCAATTAAAGTTTTATAAACCAAATTTTTGTTTAAGCTTGACAATATATCGTCATATAAATTTGAGATAATTTTTCCAAATTTTCATCTATACTAATATTATAAAGAGAAAAGATTTAATGGTTTATTTCTTTACATTGAATAGGCTCCGAAACCACTTGATCGATTTGAAAAATTTCTTTCACTTGTGGCAACCCGAAAGTAATGCGGCAACCCCAAAGTGATGTGGCAACCTTAAATGCAACTCTGCAAAAGTAAGCTGTCAGATTGACGAGCTAGCATCTTGCCTTTTTCGGCGCATCATCACGGCTGCAAGCACGTCTCAACATTTTCAGTCTCCAAACTTTTGTATCAGTTTTATATGTAAATAAATCAAACATTATTGTGGACATCCCACATATTGGTGACTCCGACAAAAAGTAAAATGACGAAAGAAGAAGAGGCAACACAGGTAACAGAAAATTTGCAGAGCCGGGGCCAATGGGCAGAGGACGTCCAGACCCGCAACGTGGAAGTGGCAAAAATTTCCATCAGGATCCCACCATTCTGGCACGCAAAGCCAGAACTGTGGATKGCACAGGTCGAGTCGCAGTTCATTGCGGCAGGCATAACGAACGACAAAACGAAGTACCGCACCGTCGTAGCCGCAATCGAAAGCAACGTGCTAGCCCAAATAAGCGACCTAATTCTCAATCCACCGAACAGTGATTTGTACTCCACGCTAAAAAATCGTATAATAACGCAATTCGCGGACTCGGAACAAAAACGTGTAAAAAAGCTACTGCAAGAACAAGAGCTTGGTGATATGCGTCCATCGCAGCTCTTGCGCGAAATGCGAAGTTTAGCTGGCGGCGAGGTCAACGATAATATATTAACGTCCATTTGGATGAGTCGGTTACCTTCCAACATGCGACTAATCATTTCTATCAACAACGAACCGCTCGATAAAGTTGCCCTGCTCGCGGACAAAATATGTGAGGTTAGCGACACCCCACACGTACATGCGGTCGAAACTCTAAACACAGCCACACGCAACCAATCAGACATCCAGCAGCAGTTAGCCGAAATCACAAAAAAGATAGCCTCAATTAAGGCGAACATAAATCGTCGGGCTAGAAGTCGCAGCAGAAACCGTCCTCCGTCACGTTCCGGTATGCAAAACAACAATTCGAATGGTTTATGCTGGTACCACCACAAATTTGGTAACGGTGCCAAAAAATGTCGTAGCACTTGCGCAAAAAAGTTAAACTAACTAGTCTGTCGTCAATGGCGGTCGACGACAGGCTCAACAATAACAACCGCCTTTTAATCGTTCAGGACAAAAAATCCGCAATAAACTTTCTCATCGACACGGGAGCGGAAATTAGCGTAATTCCACCGACGCAACAACAACGTAGCTGCCCGGACAAAAACAACTACCTCTACGCAGCAAACAGGTCCACTATAAAAACTTACGGCGAAAAAACTATGTTCCTCAATCTGGGTCTACGTCGCCAATATTCCTGGAATTTCAACCTTGCCGATGTGTCACAAGCCATCATCGGAGCGGATTTTCTATCGCATTTCAACTTAGCGGTCAACTTACGACAACGCAAACTCATCGACGACGTCACAAACACCAGCAGGCTGTATTTAATATCAACAAATAAAAAGGTACTTTCCAATTTATCTTACACTAAAAATTATCAGCCGTTCCAGGATTTATTGAGGGAATTCGAAGACATCATGATGGAAAACTTTTCAGTCAAAAAACCACAACACTTTGTCCACCAGTCTTCTCTAAACCGAGACGCTTATCTCCCGAGAAGTTAATCTCCCGAGTAAGGGCTATTCTAAATTTCAACCTACCTTTGAGAGCATGTGATTTGCGACGCTTTCTCGGTATGGTAAACTTTTTTCGCAGATTCTTGCCCTGCGCCGCAGAAAGGCAAATGACGTTACTCAACCTCATAAAAGGGAACAAAAAAAACGACACATCGCCAGTTGATTGGACAGTTGAAGCAAAGGAGGCGTTTCAACAATGCAAAAATGACTTATGCAAAGCTACTTTACTCGCTTACCCAAAACCCAGRGCGCAACTCAGTTTGACGGTGGATGCATCCGGAGCTGCGGTAGGAGCTGTGCTACAACAACACGACAACGACCAGTGCCAACCTCTAGGTTTTTATTCCGAACGCCTTACCGAAACACAAACTAGATACAGCACTTACCATCGTGAACATTAGCGGCATACAAAGCAGTCAAATATGTTCAACATATGCTATGGCAGCAAAAGCTTGAAAAGGCATCTACGCGTCAAATGCGTCACTCGAAATTTATCGCACAATTCACAACAGACATTCGGTACATCCCCGGAAGAGAAAACGCAGTAGCCGATGCAATGTCACGTATTGACGCCATACATACTCCGATCACCATCGACTTCGCTAAACTTGTGGAGAGTCAAGAGTCGGACTCAGAGCTCAAACACTTACAAGCCTCGAATTCCAGCCTATTAATCTAACCTTTTACGATTCCAGGCAAGTACGACCGTACTTAACTCCTTCGTTTCGCAAAACAGCTTTCGACTCCATGCATAACATGGCACACACCGGCGCCGCTAAAACAACAAAATTGATCGCAGAAAAATTCTTTTGGCCGAATCTCCGAAATGATTGCCGCTTATGGTCCAGGCAGTGCATCTCGTGTCAAAGAGCTAAAGTGCAGCGCCACAACAGAGCAMCGTTGTCGACATTCACGTTACCAGAGCAACGATTTGACGATATAAATATGGATATCGTCGGACCATTACCACCTTGTAAGGGTTATCGATACTGTTTGACAATAGTCGATCGTTATTCCCTATGGTTAGAGGCACTCCCGCTCGAAGACATTACGACAGAGACTATTGCTTTCAATTTCTACACACACTGGATCGCTAGATTTGGAGTACCGAGTACAGTAACAACGGATCAAGGTAGACAATTTGAATTTACACTATTCCGAAAACTTTCCAGACTTTTAGGCATCAAGCACTTACGTACCACTGCATATCACCCCGCGTCAAACGGGATTATCGAGCGATGGCACAGATCATTAAAAGCAGCGATAAAATGCTACATGACAAACAACTGGGGCGAAGTTCTCCCACTCATCCTTCCAAGTTTTCGTTCCTCATGGAGAGACGATTTAAGAGCGACACCAGGAATGGTTTATGGAAATACACTTCGATTACCTGGTAAATTTTTTTCCGAAAAGCATACGCACAATGTCAACGAAGGTGAGTTCGTCGAAAATTTACGCATACGCATGCAGTCACTAAAGCCGTCACCAACTACAAATAACTCAGCGCACGTACCATTTGTAGAAAAGAACTTGCAGTCAACACCATCAGTCTTCGTGCCCAACGACTCAATTCGTCCACCTCTTCAACCACCATACGAGGGACCATTTCCCGTAGTCGAACGTGGCGACAAGTTTTTCAAAGTCAAAATCCGAGGAAAGGACACAAACATTTCTATCGACCGATTAAAGTCAGCTTTCGTGGCCGAGGATTACCAAACCCGGTCGAATCAAACAATCCAACACAAAGAGTACCAAACAAAATCTGGTCGTCGAGTACGATTTCGTTTTCCCGCATAGAGGGGAGTGATGTGGCAACCCCAAAGTAATGTGGCAACCCCAAATGCAACTCTGTAAAAGTAATCTGTCAGATTGACGAGCCACCATCTTCCCTTTTTCGGCGCATCATCACGGCTGCAAGCACGTCTCAACATTTTCAGTCTCCAAACCTTTGTATCAGTTTTATATGTAAATAAATCAAACATTATTGTGGACATCCCACACACTGTTTCGAAGCTATACTATTTGTGCATCGATATTAAATTTTCAAAAAAAGTTAGGGTATTAGTTAGTATTCATACGAAAACTGCTATTATGTGACCCAAAAAATTAGCAATAAACTTTCTTAAATCGTGTGCGCTGCGAAACCTATTGGCTATAAAGCCAAGTAACGTATTACGCATTTGCTGATTATATAGTTATCTATAAAAAATGTTGCGACAGCATATGCCTAACTATAATAGTTTTGTCACAATATATATAAATGTCACCGCTATAAAAACTTGTTTACTTATACTTTGGAATTAATCCTTATCAAAACGAATTACTTCATATTTAAGTGTGCTTCAATACCATTATATAACTTTTTGAATTATTCAATTTGGACCTTCCATTCGAAAGATATGACAAGTTTAAAATTATAAGTTATTTGAAAAATGTCGCAGGTTAGGCGGCATAACGGGGCAACTCGATAGGCAAAAGTTTATAGCATACTAACTGTCAAATCGACTCCTATTGCAGTTGGGAAATTCTTTATGTGGGCATTTTATATCTTGATATTTCATTTTCAAAATGGCGCCGAGTAGGTACGAGCTCTTGAACCGTTTAAAACTTTGAAGAGCATGAAAAAATTGGAGGGCTATTGTTTTGATGCGGTTTTTTTTAATAGATTAAAGAGGAATTTTTATATGTATAATAATATCCATTAAATAGTGGAAAAACAATTTTATTTTTTAGGTTTCTAATGTGATGTCGTAATTAATAACATTTTTTCCGCTTACATCGCAAACGCAGGGTCATTTGTCAAAATAATGCAATAATTATTGTACACATTGAAAAGATCTACACACAGAAGTCTCCGCGATACGGAAATATAACCACTTATGGGTATATCACAATAAAATTCTGTTTCATTTACTTTTTACGACAAATAACGACCAATTTTCGAAGCAATTTGACCCAATACAGTATTAATCGTTATCCAATTAAATACCTTAAATACATTGTTGATTTACAGCATTTGGTTTAAACAAATATTTTCGAGGAGGTGGAGACATGTTTCTATTTTCGACGGTTCGTTATTTATATTGGATTATAAACTTGTGCAACACCCACTGAATTCATTGTCCTCGGTGGACATTTCTTCTCTTTAGAAAAAACTTTTAAAATTTTGATGGAATTTTTTTGAGATTTCTCACGGCATGTGATGGTGTGGCAAGAAGTTTTAAAAGGCAAGCTTGCACGAAAAGTCTTCAACGGGAAAGCGATAATCATATACCCAATGCAACTTCATTATTTGAATGGGGTAAGAATTTATTTAAAAAAATTAACTTTGGTTTTTGCTCCCAAGAAGATCACGACTTCCATGAGAAGAAGTTCAAATCTCGTCATGACCAATGTGTGACTATAAAAAATACACGCCAATATCACCATTATAGAGCTGTTAATAATACATCACTCTAGAGCACACTTTTCTCTAAGCCCTTAAAATCGTTACCAATAAAGTTAAAAAAAA